CCCCAAAACCCCAAAACCCCAAAACCCCAAAACCCCAGCTTAACAGATCTAAAATGATAATTAAATAATACTTTATATATCTGATTACAAAGATTCAGAAATGGAACTCGAAGACACTGAAAGAAAAGGTAAGATACCAGAGACCAGCCTGATGCTCAGCTCAAGAGGTTACGTTAGGAATTTCACCCCTCTGAAAGTGCATGCATGCAAAAGTAGCTGAGATTGAGAAAGATATTCCCAATATTCATGATTTTCTAATTGGAAGGAGTAGTTTGATTTATACGAATTCGGTCTATTACTGCTAGATTCTAGATACTCTCGAGGTCTAATTCAGATTGAGACCTGTATTATTGATGGTACTGAGCAGGGGTATCAAATATGTCCATCCTATCTAAATTCTGATATAGACTCTGACACAAGATTTACGATCTATACTTCATTTGGATATGGAACAGTTGAAGATGAGAAAATAGTTGAACAACTAAGCAACAAAAAGTATATAAAAGTTAAGAAAGGTATGCATAAATCTACATTTTTGGGAATATCTGTCATAATTTCTAAATCTGAGCACGGTGATACATTCATTATAGACAAAAAGAAGCAGTTTGAGGCCAAAGATGCTCGTAAGTTCAGCTAACTAATATTGAATAAATGCCTTCAACTAACCTCTCAATAGGCGCCATTGACATGCTTGCAAGAATGGAGAGAAGGGCTAAAAGAAAGAAGAAAAAGATTGTAAAAGAGAAAAAGGAAAGGAAGAAGAAAGGTGAGTAAATCCATCCATTAAGGATCTTGTATCAACTTCCCATTGGAAGTATCACTCTCCTCAGATTCCTCATACCTCACCCACCAATCCTATAGTGAGCAATTCTCTATTCGAAGAAATGAAAAGGAGCGAGGAGGCTGAGGAAAATAAACTCGCTGAGTACCAGCCACCTGAAGTCGAAATAGTGCAAAGTGATAACATGTTCGAAATAAATCCAGAAGACCAAAAATCTGAGAAAAGTATCAGCATTATAGCTAACATATAGATAAAATCAGTCTTGCTGAAATCGTAGAGGTTGATGAAAAGGAGCATCTTGAAGAAGCTAAGCACCCACAACCTGAAGAGGACAATAAGGAAGAAGTCCCCAAAGAACAACAGGAAGATAACAAAGAAGATAGCAAAGAAAAAGCCCAAGATGTTAAGGACTCACCTAAAGAAGATGAAAAGGAAGATAGCAAAGCCGAGCCTGAACAAAACAAGCAAGAAGAGAATGAGAAGCAACCTGAAGAAGATGAGAAGAAGCCTGAAGATTCCCAAAAAGAAGTTCCTGAAGAGGATAAGAAGCAGCAACCTGAGAAAGACAAGGAAGAGAGTCCTCCAGAAGACGAAAAGAAAGAGAGTCTTCCAGAAGAGAAGAAAGAGAGTCTTCCAGAAGACGAAAAGAAAGAGAGTCTTCCAGAAGAAAATAAGAAGGAAAGTCCACCAGAAGAAGACAAAAAGGAACAGCCTAAAGAAGACTCTAAAAAGGAACAACCTGAAGAAGATAAAAAGGATGAAAATCCAGCTGCCAACAATGAAGCTCAGCCTGGAGAGGAACAACCTCAAGAGTCCAATGCAGAAAGCCCTCCTGATGAAGTACAAGAGGATTCTAAAAAGCCAGAAGCAGAAGATAAGAAGGAGGATTCTGGTGACAAGAAAGAGGACCAACAAGAAGTTCCTAAAGAGGATGAAAAGAAGCAAGAAAATGAAGAAGATGAAAAGAAAGAGGAAAAGGAAGAAGATCAAAAGAACGAAGAAGACTCTAAGAAGGAAGACAAAGAGGATCAAAAACAGCCTGAAAAGGAAGAAGATGAAAAGAAGCCTGAAAAAGAAGAGGACAAAAAAGAATCATCAGATAGTAAAGAAGACTCTAAAAAGGCAGGAGATGATGAAGGAGAGGAAGGAAATCCAGAGAGTAATGAAGCAGATTCTTCAGACAAAAAGTATGCTAGGATATTAAACTATAGGGGTTCTTCAAAGAAACTAGTTAAGGCAGAGCAGAAGAAGCTTTCTGCTAAGAACCCATTTGAGAGGAAACCTTCTGAATCTAAAAAGCCAAAGGAAGATCCTCCAAAATCTGATAGTGAATATGAAGAAGTAACTGATCCTGAATTTGATGCTTTCAACTCTGATGATTCTGCTGAGAAGTCCAGGATTGTATCTGTCAACTTTAATTGGGGAGGCGAAGGTAGACTCACTAAAAAGCAAATTAAGATCAAGATCAGGATCTTTGTGAAAACCTTCTTCGGGAATCGGACCAAGCATGAAGTAGTTGTTGGGATTAATGATAGAGTAGAGAGCTTAGTCGGTAAATATCTATAATAATCTCCTAGACAAACTTAATACTAATGATGAACTAAGTTGCTTCCATGTTATCAAGTTCATTTATCCAATGGGAAGAGTCAAACATTTGTCAATGAGTGACACCTTTGCTAATCAGAACATCCCAGAAGGTGCCTGACTAGTCATGATTGGTAAGAAAGACTTTCACTGGGATATGGCAATGAAAGGAAGGAACATTATAGTAAGTTTTCAAAATAATTTCTAGATATACAATCAACTAACTGCTAACAAGAAGCATGAGACCACTCATGAAACGATCTTAGCTAATGTTGGCTTTGACTCAGGGACCCATTACTGGGAAATTACCATTGACTCTTTTGTTGACCTAGATGATATTTGTGTTGGCGTTGCCAAAGGAAATGTCAATCTATACACTCCTGCAACAGAGACTGGGTGCTTCTGGGGATGGGTTGCAACTGGAGAGAAAAAGTTTGAGCCAACCTCAGAGGGTAGACAGATCAGTAGATTCGGAGAGCCATGCAAAATAGGAGACATAGTTGGAGTTCTTCTCCAATTCGATAATGGATTTGCATCTCTTTCTTTCTACAGGAACAAAGTAAATAGCTCAACATAACCCTCTAGGTATTTATCGGAAACGCCTTTGATAACATTCCACCAGGGACTCTCTATCCAGCAGTGTGATTATATTACGGAGAAGTGCAAGTAACTTTAAACCCTACTGTTAAAAGACCGTAAAGGGTTTCATTTCAATTCATAATTGTACTGTCGGGGTTTTGGGGTTTTGGGGTTTTGGGGTTTTGGGGTTTTGGGG